CTAGCGACCCTACGGCACATGCATTGGAGGCGATTATACCAGAAGCCGAAGCGTTACAAGCATCAGCGTACCTTCGACGATGCAGGAGAACGCCAAGCAACACAAGGTGTCAACAAATAAGGGAGATGCAGACAACTACAACACGATCACGCGCTCTACCGACTGTACATCGGAGGCACGGATGAGCATACCAAGAATTGCTACCTGTGGATACATTGAGGGGAGAAGCAAATTTATCTTCACACCCTCAAATGAAACAATCACCGGCAGCAATGGAGCAAGACATGTGTACCAATGTGCATGTGTTCCTGGTAGTTACGCCTGTTACACCCATCAGGAACACTCTACTAGGAAGATGGAGTTGATGGATTCTCCTTCAACCAGTACGAGTTGAGAGAATTCTCCGCAGCAGCTGCCGCCATTGCCATCGTCGCTACCGCCGCCGCCGCCGCAGCAGAAGACTCGACACAACAGTCATATCCAAACCCTGATGGACGATTCTCAGCTCAATGGAGATAATGCTGGATTATATTCCAGTGGATCGTAAAAGTCCCGGCCAGGCACAGTACTATTGTTCCCAGCTAGTGGGAAAGAGACACCACTATGCGAAGAAACAACATGGCAATGCTATATACCCTCAAGAGTAGGAGATATTTGCTCTTATGAGGATGGGGGGACTATGGTACTCTACCGGTATACAAGTCCTCATTGCCTATGGCTTTCCTTCAAGTCATAAAACACGCGTCGCAACCAATCCATCAACAGCACCACCTTGACGGAAGCAGATAGGCGTGAAACGGAGCGCCGACGCCACTCCGGATAGTGGACTCCGCGTATCTCCAACAACACCCCTGTTTGCCGAAATGGAGCAGACTTCAACACTGATGCTGAGTAGCTGAGACATCTTCGACATCAATGCTACTTCAAGGACGGTAACAGAATGAGACAACACATGATGGCACCAGAAGACCTATCCCAATATGTGCGCCCAGACACCGATGCCTACCGATGGCCTCCGTGCTAAAATGGAAGTGCATAAGGTCATACTGGATTGGCTATCAGCAATGCTCATTTGAAACTGGGAGAGGATTATTTGGGAATAGCCCTAACATTCCCAGATATCTTAACCCATCACGTGGGATATCTATGCAGCTGAGATTCCTTGCTTAAGCAACCACTGAGGGAAAATACTTACTAGGAGTGGTCCTTACTAGGCACACAGAGGCTTCTTGGGCAGACGACGCTGAGACCCTCAGGTCCTCCTAGGGCTACTGCTTTAGCCTTGGTTTCAGGTGCTATTTCGTGGAGAGCTACCCGCTCCTCGTCCGTTGCCCAGTCCAGCTGCGATGCTGAGTTCTACGTTGTTGCCATGGCGGCCATGATCCTCCAGTGTCAGGAGTCTCGACTTGAGGGCAGAGCGAAGCACATCCAGCTGTGGTAGTTCCTCCTGCGCGAGCCACAGCAGCGCCGCTTGGCACGCGTAGTACACTTGGCCTCCGGTGCCAACACAACTGATATTGTTACGAAGGCGCTTGCGTCTATAGATCATCAGCGGCACTGTGTACAGCTTGGTCTTGTTCCTGTAGCCTCTCATTTGCTAGGGCCTTGATTGTGTACAGACCTTTATATATATATATTACCCAGACTGGCCTTGTGGCCTCTCCCAGTGGCTGGACTAGTAGTACCGCCCTGGTCTTGCTCTTGCCTTGGTCTATACTCGTTTGACTGGTCTTTAGATCCTTGTCTCAGAGGCTGGACTAGTAGTGCCACCCTGAGCTGCTTGTTCTCTTGTTAGGCACTGCCCCTATATAGTCTAGGGGGTGTGTCAAACATAACTTAGTATGTTATTGTAGACTATATAGGTTTGTGCCTTAGAGGGTACAACACACTAGCCTATATTCCCTTGTACTCTCTCATTCTATTCATTCTAGCATTCTAACATTAGGAGCTAGGAACTAGGAGAGAAAATTGACGAGAGAAAAGAGGGAGAACTAGAAGAGAGAGAGGCATACAAGGAGGGAGTTGTACCCTCTACAGTAGTGATCGATAAACCTACCAAGCCTACCAATTATATAACAAAATGTATAATTTAACACACCCCCTAGGCTTGGTAGTCATAAGCCCACACACACTCACACCCCCTAGCTTAGCACCCCCATTCCAAGCATCAGCCACGTCTACTCCGGTGGGGCCAGCCCCCACGGCCTGTGAGATGGCGATTGCGGCAGCGGCGATAGTGACGGCAGTGGCGGCGGCGGCGCCCTCTCGGCGGCATGGCCAATCTCTGCGGCGATGGGGACCCCCTTGAGTCAGGCGTCGGCTGTAGCGAGGAGGATTGGACGCAGGGGAAGAAAGGGGGGGGGGGGAGGGTTTGTGTGGTCCAGCATCATGCTCGCGGCTGGACGACGCCGACGCCGCCACGGCTGGATGTCGACGCCACGACGGCGCGGCGCCACGGCAGCGCGTCGAGACGGCCGCGGCACGATGACGACGCCGCCACGGCTGGACGACGACGCCACGACGGCGCGACGCCACGGCAGCGCATCGAGACGGCCGCGGCACGACGACACCGCCACAGCAGCACGACGTGGCCGCCATGGCAACGCGCGAGGGAAAGAAGGAGTGTGCGGCGGAAGCGTGGGGAGCAGGCCCGGGAAGGGGAACCTGCTCTGATACCATATTGTAAAGACTAGGCTAGGAGGAACGGAAGGAAGCCATGGAATGGCGTGAGGGTTTAGGAGCTAGGAACTAGGAGAGAAAGTTGACGAGAGAAAAGAGGGAGAACTAGAAGAGAGAGAGGCATACTAGGAGGGAGTTGTACGCTCTACAGTAGAGTTCGATAAACCTACCAAGCCTACCAATTATATAACAAAATATATAATTTAACAGAAAGTTGGTAGAGTGAGTGCACTGTGGTTGGTGGACGAGGTTTTGGAGAAGCCAACAGACTTGGCGAGAGGAAGTTGGTAGGCGAAATTCGCCAGCCTTGCGAGTCTTCGGCAAGAACACAACCTGGATCGGCAAGGGCACTGAGGGAGGTAAGAAAGGCAGTAGGAAACACAGAGGAAGATGGGGTAAGGCAGTGGGAATCACGGAGGGAGATGGGGCATGGCAGTGGGAAACACAGAGGGAGATGGGGCATGGCAGTGGGAAACACAGAGGGAGATGGGGCAAGGCAGTGGGAAACACAGAGGGAGATGGGGCATGGCAGCGGGAAACACAGAGGGAGATGGGGTATGGCGGTGGGAAAAACAGAGGGAGATGGGGTATGGCAGTGGGAAACACAGAGGGAGATGGGCCATGGCAGTGGGAAACACAGAGGGAGATGGGCCATGGCAGTGGGAAACACAGAGGGAGATGGGGCATGGCAGTGGAAAACACAGAGGGAGATGGGGCAAGGCAGTGGGAAACACAGAGGGAGATGGGGCATGGCAGCGGGAAACACAGAGGGAGTTGGGGTATGGCCGTGGGAAAAACAGAGGGAGGTGGGGTATGGCCGTGGGAAACACAGAGGGAGATGGGGCATGGCAGTGGGAAACACAGAGGGAGATGGGCCATGGCAGTGCGAATCGCAGAGGGAGATGGGGCATGGCAGTGGGAAACACAGAGGGAGATGGCCCATGGCAGTGGGAAACACAGAGGGAGATGGGGCATGGCAGTGGGAAACACAGAGGGAGATGGGGCAAGGCAGTGGGAAACAAAGAGGGAGATGGGGCATGGCAGCGGGAATCACAGAGGGAGATGGGGCATGGCAGTGGGAAACACAGAGGGAAATGGGGCATGGCAGCGGGAATCACAGAGGGAGATGGGGCATGGCAGTGGGAAACACAGAGGGAGATGGGGCAAGGCAGTGGGAAACAGAGGGAGATGGGGCATGGCAGTGGGAATCACAGAGGGAGATGGGGCATGGCAGCGGGAATCACAGAGGGAGATGGGGCATGGCAGTGGGAAACACAGAGGGAGATGGGGCAAGGCAGTGGGAAACAGAGGGAGATGGGGCATGGCAGTGGGAATCACAGAGGGAGATGGGGCATGGCAGCGGGAATCACAGAGGGAGATGGGGCATGGCAGTGGGAAACACAGAGGGAGATGGGGCAAGGCAGTGGGAAACAGAGGGAGATGGGGCATGGCAGTGGGAATCACAGAGGGAGATGGGGCATGGCAGCGGGAATCACAGAGGGAGATGGGCCATGGCAGTGGGAAACACAGAGGGAGATGGGAAGCATGCTCTCCGATGACGCTGTTGCTGTAGCTCGCTCGGTGTGAAAACGATCCCCGCGGGAAGATGACTCATAAACCTCGTATTCCTCAAACCGTGAGGATTGTCCGGCTCCTTTTCGCGACGTCCAGCGTGACGTAGACATGATGCGAAACAAAGAAGCAAGTATAGGGCTCAGGTGGGTAGGATAGCGAGTTGATGTTGATTGCACTAAGAGTCATAAGGATCAGCCAGCACAAGATGACATGAGTGGTGCATACGGTAGAGTGATAGCTACTAAATCCAAGAAAGACACAAAGAGTGCTTGTGGGGTCAACATGGAAACTGTGTTATTCAAGAACTCACAAGAGAAGAGCCTTTATGTTTGAAAGAGCGATGCCAAGAAGTGAAGCTAAGTTTGGGCTCATAGGGTGGGCAAGATTGCACTGTGGTTCAAGAAAGCAAGCTCCGCAATGCTGGAAAGCAGCCACCTTGCTGCCAAATGTGTTAGAGGGACTAAAATTATGTGAATGCCACTGTTCACGAGCATATGATGCCTTTTGAGGTACAAATGCCAGGTTTCCATGTGCACCCATGTGCTAGACATGGCACTCTCGGGCTGTATAGGGTCTGAAACCAATCTTTGGATTCTGCCCAGGGTATCGTGTGAAGGTATTAATGGTTTATTAGAACTTGAAGATTTAATACAATTCTTGGCAAATCCTAATGCAAGTTTCGCAAAAGAGCAATCCTAACCATCACACATGCGTCATGGGTATGAAAGCATTGCTTTATTTGAAGGCTAATACCAATGGCGCGTTGGGGTGGTCTTTCTGAAGCCTAGAGGTTGAGTTTTCAAAGGGGGGATGAACTCGTCATCAAACGAGTAGTTGTCAAATCCCGTCGTCCTAAAGGTTTGCTTAATAAGACATGGGAACTTTGGAGGGGCGGCGATGCAATACACAGCGTTAGATTTCCCTGGAACCGTCTGTAGGGTTGTTGCGGTCGGCGTTGCCTCCCAAGGAGCAAGTAGGCCCAATGCATGGGCTAGTGCACCGTATGGGATACCGTAACCATCCGGACCCACAACCCCTTCTCTGAGACATAAAATAAAACCGTATTAGCAGGACTGCACTTTCGAGTTGGCAATCGATGTGTGGGACAACACGCTCTAGGACGTACAAGTATGTGCTTGGACGAGGAGCACTACGAGTCCTCCTATGTTCTTGGGCTTCCGGTAGATATACCACGTCGTCCGCTCCATTGCGATCATAGATACCGCCTTCAACCTAGGACGTAACCCACGAACATGTGAGATATGGTGCAGAAAATCAGTGCAAGCCAACCAGAGACAAGCAAACTTACCACAAGACCTTCCGCATGGGCAAAGAGCTTGAAAAAGTCACGGTAGTCATCATCATAAGGCGTGGGCTTTACGAGATCATTCCAGGACGACGCAGTGAAGTTGACATGCCGATAATCCTTTATGGTCTCCATGAAGCACTTAGCATCGGCCATGTCGCTTCCCGCTTGCTCTTTCGCGTACAAGGCATTGATTATTTTCAGGTCAATGAAATCCAGGTGGCATTTTCTCCTTGCATTGCCCATACAGCATGCGCGTTTGGCTGACATGCTCCCCACATCAGACACACTAAATGGCGCTAGTGATTCCAGTAGAAGCTTTGGCGTAGGTTCCACATGGCGAGAAATGCAGCTCACGTACTCGCGCTGCATCATTAGAGCAGTTATTGTTCTATGCTTGCAGGCAAACGTCTGCAGGAGTATCGTCCAACCGCCACGAGAGGTAGTCTCGTAGTCATGCTTGTGCTTTCCCAAAGCAGCCATAGCAACACTGTTTCCTTTGGTCTATGAGTGTCTTGTGCTGAAAGTGAATTCCACAATCCTGCTTTCCATCTAGAAATGCTCGCATTGAAATAGGTTCCTGAGGCGCTGGACGCTCTTGCTCTGATTTTGAAAGAGATGCTCCAGGCCCACGATGATTGCACAGTGCCTCTTCTGGTTTTGAGACGAAACATGTGCACGAAATGCTATGCTGTAACATGCATTCACGGGCTGCATAGGATGGCTATGTTGGGAAGTGCGAAATTTTGGTGTAACCACGAGCACATGACAGGGCGGGTGTTCGTCACACTGTGTCCGAATGGTTGGTCGGCGAAAAAAAGGAGCATGCGACCACCAGAAATGACACACTCCACATCAGGGGTGTTTGGGCTGGGCAGATGTCGTGCCCATAATTTCGTAGTGTAGCATGTGTGTTACAAAAACAGGTTTGGTGCAGCAGACAGGGTCGGTGAAATTGGGTTCGTGTCTTGGGTAGGTCTGGTTTTTGCTAGGGTAGCCAATAAGTAGTCACATGCGTGTTTGTGCACGCGTATGGAGCAATTGGCTGCTCTAGGAACGTGCCACAGATTCAGGCCTTAGACCGTGCGCTAGTGTATTATACGTTTTACCTCTGACTGGTTCTCAAAGGTTCGATTAGTAGGTGTTGCAGACTGTTGGCAAAGTCACCCTCGTCGCTGCCTTTATGTTCTTGATGTGACAGTAGGCTCTCTAGATGAAGCATGCAGTCGAGTAGCTGCTAGGTTTGCAAGGTAAGTTGAGGATTCAGCACAATAACTTCCCTTTTCGAAATGTCCATGTAATCGACATGTAAGTGGGTGTTTACCCACCTTTGTTATCCCAAAGACATTCGTATAATCCCTGGTTCTCCCAAGACGGAATCCAATGTACATGCCAGTGGGCAGCGTGGAGTTACGCATATTTGCCATTTCTTAGATAGATGCTAAAAAAGCACACTACGGTTCCAGTAGATGCGAGTTTAGCTAGGTTCTTGCATTCCACCATGGAGGTGTCGCGGATCTGGCTGCTGATTCTATCTACTGTGGTCTTACTCGGTCTCCATACGACGAGCGTATGCCACCATGGTTCATTAACTCTCTCTAGCCCGCAGTCTTGTGAAACGCTACTCGTAACCATGAAACAACGCAAAGCAACGTGCGAATGGTGTGGCTGTTCGTTTCGTGGATCTGGGCCTCTAAGGACACACACGTCCACAGATGCAGATTGCAGGCTAGCTAAGGAACGCAGCTACAATGCTGGTATTTTCTATGGGGCGTATGCTACTTTTGTAGGCCCCTCCTGCGCTGAGCGTTCTCGCCACTCCTGGGCACCAGTCGACCACAGCAACGGATGCCCTCCCGTTGAGCCACCTAGCAGGCAAACAAGCTCCACCTCCACGCAGGGTAGTGTGTCGGGCCATTCTAGTGACAGCGATAGCGGGGGGAGTAGTTGCGAGCGCGGGTACAACCACCCCATGTCGTTTGACACGGCTCTGGAGTTTTATCTCCTCATCATGGCGTGTAACAGAGGCAGCGGTCTTTCTGCACCCGACACCGCACGTCTCCTCAAGTTTCTGCATGCCCAGGGTCTAGATTTGTCCAGAATCACCGATTGGCACTCAAAGTCGGCAGCCCTCAAGTATGGTCGCGGTCTCGGGCTCGGTAGGAGAACATACATGGTCCGGGAGGTGCACATCGAAGGCTGGCCTCGGCCCTTTTATGTTAGGTTCACCAGTCCAATTCAGGTATGGAGCATCACTTGTGCATGTCCGGGGACACAACCCTCCTGCATTTACGCCATGGCAATCCCACAGCATATATCTGCAAATTTTAAGCACACTCTCCTCCATTGTTGGCGGCCTACTGTTATGCAGGCCTTGCGTGGCCTTTTCGGGGATCAGAGCAACTCTTCCGGGTTTCAGCTGTGGGCCACTCCTCAAAAAGATGCCAATGGCAATCTCCTCTTCACGACGCCCAGCACTGCGCTTTTGGATGGAAGCTCAGGTGTGCATATTGTTGTTTCCCCACCAACTTGACTCGATTGTCCTTTTAATGCACCGTCTTTCTACTGTTACTTTCCTTGTGCCTAAAATTAAGAGTCCCCCTACTCCCGCCACTTCCTTCAAAGCATTCACGACCACATGCTGCCCTCGGCATTCAAGTGCTGCCCGCTTTTTCCCGATTTGGGGATTGTGCCCCCAAAACCATGGAATGCCTCCAATAGGCCCATGTGCCGGATGGCGAAGTCATTTGTCCAGTGATCCTTGCAAGCGATCAGACGACACTCGATGGCACGACGCGGACCCGAATCTGGCCACTGTACATATCCACCGAAAACATTCCATGGCACTGGCGCTGGCACGACGCTGGGAAAGTACTCGGCATTCTGCCAGAACCAGACAAGCACATGCTGCCCATGCAGAAGGTCGAGCTGTTCCAGAAATCTCTTGGCATTGTTCTCCATGAGCTCCACCAAGCATCCAAAAAGTAACCATCCCATTCCCCCACCCCTCCTCTTCCCATGTCCCCCACCATTTTTCCCTCTTCCTATCTCCCTCTTCCCCTAAGTCTCCCTCTCCCTACCAAACCACAAGCAATCTTCTCCAACATGATGTATCCCCACTGCCCGTTCCTCCCCACTCTCTATGCCCTGCCCCCCTACTTCCCCCTCCATCCATGTCCTCTGTTCCCCCTAACTCCCTTGCTCGCTATCGACTGCTCTCACTATCTCGCAGTCTCTCTATTTCTCCTCCCTGTCCATTCCCTCTCCCCCCTTCCCTTCTTTCCCCACTCCCCATCTTGCCATCACCCCGTCCCGGTTCTCCAAATCTCCCCTACTCTCCATCACATGCTGTCCCTCAACCCCCCCCCCGGGCTGTCCCCTGCCCCCTTCTTCTCCCACGGCCACCATCCGAACCCCGTCCTTCCACCCTATCTCCCTCTCCATTGCCGCTTCTTTTACCTCTCCTACTTTTCATCTACATGCCATCACACTACATGCATTCCTCTCTGTTTCCTGCGCTCTCTCTCCATCCCTTGTCCATAGTCCCTCTCTCTCTCTCTCTCTCTCTCTCTCTCTCTCTCTCTCTCTCTCTCTCTCTCTCTCCCTCTCTCTCTCTCTCTCTCTCTCTCTCTCTCTCTCTCTCTCTCTCTCTCTCTCTCTCTCTCTCTCTCTCTCTCTCTCAAGCGGTCCATGTATTTCTGGAACCTGGGTACAACTAGGCATCGGTTGGCAAGGAAGGTGAGTACAAACACCTACGTACGCGGGTTGCCTACGACCATTCGAGCCCCGGCTCCAGGACCGCGAAGCAGTCAGCCGGGGAGAGAGACTCATCAGGCGAGCCGATGGGCGGGTGCTCTGCCTGGGCTGCCTCGTTCACCTTCTTGAGGTAGGATGCGGCCTGACCCCGTTGGAGGGTGCAGGACCAGCGCTGGCGGAACTGGTGTAGGAGCTTAGCCGCCTGGTAGGTGGCTGGCTCCGCATTGCCGCTTCTTTTACCTCTCCTAATTTTCATCTACATGCCATCACACTACATGCATTCCTCTCTGTTTCCTGCGCTCTCTCTCCATCCCTTGTCCACAGTCCCTCTCTCTCTCTCTCTCTCTCTCTCTCTCTCTCTCTCTCTCTCTCTCTCTCTCTCTCTCTCTCTCTCTCTCTCTCTCTCTCTCTCTCTCTCTCTCTTTCTCTCTCTCTCTCTCAAGCGGTCCATGTATTTCTGGAACCTGGGTACAACTAGGCATCGGTTGGCAAGGAAGGTGAGTACAAACACCTACGTACGCGGGTTGCCTACGATCATTCGAGCCCCGGCTCCAGGACCGCAAAGCAGTCAGCCGGGGAGAGAGACTCATCAGGCGAGCCGATGGGCGGGTGCTCCGCCTGGGCTGCCTCGTTCACCTTCTTGAGGTAGGACGTGGCCTGACCCCGTTGGAGGGGGCAGGACCAGCACTGGAGGAACTGGTGTAGGAGCTTAGCCGCCTGGTAGGTGGCTGGCTCCGCATTGAAGAGTTTCCTGGCGGCTGCCTCGGCTAGGAGCTTGAAGAAGGCCGGCACCTCCCAGCATGGGCAACTGTACGTTTCCACGGCCAAGGGGAAGAAACCGACGTAGGCCGCCCGGTTTTTGTAGAGTTCGATCTTTTTGTCCCCTTGTTCTCTCGCTGCGAATCCCCACCCCTTGCGGGCTGTGGGGTCCCGGTTGCCGATGGGGTCTGTAACAGTGACATCACAGATCCAAACTGCCGCCGTTCCACGGTCCCGGATGGCGAGGTCTGCCTTGTGGCCATCCACGGGGCAGAAGATGGTGGTCTCTCGATAGACGATGAAACCCGCGTCTTGTCCCATTCGAATGCACTCGTCGCGCAATGCATTGTGAGTGTCGGTCCGCCCATGGCCGGTACCGCAGCGGAAAAGGTGGTTTGGGAGCCGCGGGTCATCGACCTTGGTGCGGTCCACGCAGTCACAGCGCCGAGGCGTGGAGAAGGGAAGGCCCAGGTGGAAGGCCAGGGCTATGGAGAAGTGCGCGGGGGCGAGGCGCAATGACGGGAAGAGGGGGATGGACTGTAACCAATCCCCGGCGCCGTAGCCCGAGTGGGACAGCATGCGCTGGGTATGGCCCATGTAGGGGTTAGGGTCCATCTCCCGGGTTGCCGTGACCTGGTCGGCGTACCACTGGCCTTGTACTTCCAGCGCCAGTCGGTGCTGTAGTGGCTTGTCCGTTGGTTCAAGTCACTCGTTCTGAAGCAGCAGGCGTGCAGGAGGCGGGAGTGCAGCCTCCGCCTCGGCCAGCCATGCATGGTAGGGTGCGGGGCTGGTGAATGGCGGGGCGAGTTGGTTGGCAGCTAGCGCGAGAGGGGTGTCAGGCGCGGGCTGGAGGGTCATAAGTAGGGCATGGGTGCGATGGACACTGGTCAGGAAGGCGTGGAACATGCCCTGCCCCCACGCCGACCACTCCTCAGCTGGGAGTAGCTGCAAGGGGGTCGTGCGGAGGAGGTACGATACCCGCTTGCGAATGCAGAGGGAAAGCAGAAGGGCGCTGATCTGGGGGTCCATAGCGGACAGTAGTGCCAGCAGGGATGTGAGGGTGGTGATGTGGGACCAGAGGAACGCCGCAGAGCCGCTCACGTGTCCGACGTGACTGCCCAGAACCCGCAGCCCATCGGCGGTGAAGGGGATGTTCGGAGGGAGCTCCTGGGCGGGGGGCGGGTGGGGGCCCATGCGGCACACTTGGCCGGATTGTGAGTCAGGCCCAGCACGCGTAGCCCCTCGGTGAAGTGCAGGAAGGCTGCGGAGCATGCAGATGGTCCACATGCGAAGGTAACATCGTCCGCGTATGCTAGGCATAGTACGTGCGGGAAGGTAATGGCTGTTGCTTGGAGGGCAGGGTGCATTCCTGCAGCGAAGAGCAAGGGGCCAATCGGGTCTCCTTGACGAACGCCCCGCTCACTCAGCAGTGGCGGGCTATGGAACCCGGCGTCCAGATAGAGCGCGGACGGCCGGCCGTAGGAGAGCTAGGCCAAGGGCAGCAGCGGTCAGAGCGGTGAGGTCGATAGCCCATCGACGATGGCCTGGCGTTCAATGCTGTTGAACGAATTAGTAATGTCGACTTGTACGATGAGCGACTCCGGCTGGGCAGAGGAGAAGCTGCGTGTCGAATGGACGACGGTTTCCCCTCCGCCCGGGACTGCTACCCCATATTGTAGGGGCAGGAAGTGCCCCCGTGCGGCCTCGGTGATGGTAGTGAGACCGCATTTGGCGATGACGCGGTGCAGACACTCGCCCACAGCTATAGGGCGTGTGCCGCCATCGGGCTTTGTCAGGGCCAGGAGCCGCGAGGGGGTGAGGAGATCCGCTACCTCCTCTGGTAAGTCCCCACGCATGGCACTTATGACTATGGTGAAGAGATGGTCAGCGTCCGCCGCGTCTGCGAAAGCAGCGTCTTGTAAATGTTCGAAGGTCATTCCGGATCGGCCCGCTCCCGCACCGTTTTCGCACTGAGACAGCAGCTTGGCGAAGGTTGGTTTGGCGAGGGATATCGGAGACTCGGATTGGTCCAGCGCTGGCCAGGTAACGTCGTTCACGAGCGAGGAGGGGTGTTTCAATTTCAACGCCTCGAGCATGGCTGCTAACGGGGCACTGACTGGTGTTGACTCCAGTGCCAGGACAGCCCTCCTGAGGCTGCCTCGTTTTGCCAGTCCTTCGGCGCGGGCAACTTTGCCGAGGTCGTCGGCGACATGGTGTGGCGGCGGGGGTAGGTTGAATGAGTCAACCGCTGACTGGTACAGCTGTTCCCAATCGCCTTTGAGGAATTGCTGTAACCGCTTAGCGATCGCCTTCCAGTCCGATTTCCTTGGCGAGCCCAAACGAAGTGTTAAACGTGGGGCGAAAAGTAACAAGCGCCACCCTGGCACGGATTTTGGATTTTTTGCCAGGTGCAGGAGCGGGATGAGCAGGGTGATCGCAAAGAGTGGGCGAAGGTTTGGCGGTACTCGGCGGCAAATGGGGGGCTGTCGGCTGTCATACAGGGGCAGCAAGTCCCAGTTGGCGATGCTGGCGAAGCGGGATTCGTCAGCTGCGAGCTGTTCGGGGGGCAGCTCAGGCTCTGCCCCACTCACACTTGCCAGCGACGCCCGAGGATTTCGTCCTCGCGGCAAATTCCCGCTCTGGGGAGCTGGTGCTGCAGATCCGACTCGAGAGCGTCGGCGAGGTGGCTGCTGCATGTCTGTCTCAACGCTGTCGTCCTCCGTGCTGGATGCTCCTTGCTGGTCAGGTATGTAAGTCCTGTCCCTCGCTTCTTCAGCATCAGTTGTGCCATCTTCCCTTCTTAAAGCCCTTATGGCTGCTTGTTGGAATCCGTTCCTAGGGCCTCCATCGCTAACCGTGCGCCCGACCCGACCCCGTCCGTGTCCTCGTCCTTGTCCTCGTCCGTGTGCCCCGCTGCTTGGGGACGCAGTACGAGTGCTGCGTCCTCCTGCCGGCGAGCCGCACCACGCATCGTTGCTCGGAGATGGTGCACCCACGATCCGCCGAGCGGGTTCGCCGTGGGCACCGCGAGCGGTCAACCAGTTTGGAGAGCTCCGCCGAGAGCGCTCCACCCTTCCCCCGAGATCGGGCGATAAACTCGGAACCGACGGACCTGCACAGGGCTCGTGGTTACCCTGTCACTGGGTCTGACGGGAACTTCCCCAGTCACCTGAGCCGGTTCCGCTACACCCACGTAGCCCGCCTGCAACACCTCCGCTCCAGGAATGGCTGGAGGGATCCCCTGTGCTCCCGTCCCCTGCTGCGCAAAGTCAGTACCAGCGCACGCCGTCCCGTCCGTCGTCACCGCCGCCCCGCGCATTGTTGCCTCGTTATTCCTCGCCGCATCCCGCCCCGTCTCGCCCACAGTCTCCGACACCCCGCGTGCTATCTCCAGCGACCCCTGCACAATCCCGCCCTCAGTCTTCGTCCCTGCCGATGCGCCGTCCGCAGCCCTCGCAAGCTCCACGCCTGCGGCCCACACGCCAAGGAATTCCCCAACGCCCGCATGTAGCGGCCGGAGTGCAGCAGCCGGTGGGGCTGGCACGGTGGGAACTCTGACCGTGCTCCAAACAGTCGTGAGCTGGCGCTTGTGCGAACCCTCGCTCAGAATACCGCCGTGCTGGAGGGTATTTGGGCGCAGGTCCGCGTTGGCTCACAGACGCCCCCGCCCCCTTCTCTGGCGCCGAGCCTCGAGCTGGTCGCTGCGCCAGCGTCTCAGGCGCCACCTCCACAGTTGCACCCGCTCCCAGCGCAGGCCCAGGTCCCTCCGCAGCAGCCGCCTCCGCCTCCCTTCCCCCAGCCACAGCCATCGCGGACACTCCTGAGCGATCGCACCGCCCCACCATCCCTGCTGACGTTGCCGTCATGGCAGCCGCCTCCTCTCCCACAGGATCCCTCCCCGTGGCCTGAGCAGGCTCTGCTGCCTGCTCCCCATCCGTTGTTTTCTGGAGGGGGGGTGTATGGTCCCTTCGTTCCCCCGTGTCGCCAGCTGCCATGGCCGACTAGAGTAGAGGCGGGGGCAGTGTCAGCGGAGACGGGGGGAGCGGAGTCGTCGGGGGAAGGGTCCCCGCAAAGCCACAGTGGTCCCGACCGTCGGCGGACCGGCGGGTTGCGGATTCCGCCCCGGTTGCAGGTCGGGCGCAGCCGTCGGTTGGAGAGGATGGTGGCGATGCCAGCCGCCACACTTCGGCGGGTGGATCATCTGAGGGAGGCAACTGGGAAGGCGCCCTAGGATGCTGTCCGCGGCTTACTCAGCCCTACAGAGCTCAACAAACCCATGGGCTCTGTCACACGGCCCCCTTCAGTGCTGCTCGGACTGGTCGGACGACCTGATGGTCCTGTTTGGGCGCGCGTTGCCCGCGCCCGCACCGGGAAGAGGCACGGACCCCGGTACACTCAATGCAATGAAAGCTGTTGCGGCGAGCATACACTCGGCGTCAAGTGTAGATCTCGTTGCTGCCTGCGTGTTAGTGCTGCAGGCTGTGGACAAGCTTCTGGCGGGGCTGCTGTCGACGGCGGAGGAGGAAGAGGCCGGCGAGTAGGCACCCGGCGTCGGTAGGTACGCGCAGGGGAGGCTTCCCCAAGTGTCAGAGCTCTGGTTAGCTGGACCAGGCTCTCCATGCCTCCCACGGAGCCTGAAATGCCTCCCGGCTTGTTAGGGATCTGGTAGACGTGCCCCAACGGGGCCTAGGCTGAGTGCGTTGCTTGTATGTTGTCTGGACATGTTGTATTCCACTTGCCATCCCCTATCGCGCGGCCGAAGGCCGCCGACGCGGGCCGCCACCAAGGGTAGGAGAAAGAAGAACTGGAAACTAAACAAGGAAAATGAGGCAGGGAGAGGCCTTAAATAGAGAGGGAGGGACGCAGGCTCTCTCTCTCTCTCTTTCTCTCTCTCTCTCTCTCTCTCTCTCTCTCTCTATCTCTCTCTCTCTCTCTCTCTCTCTCTCTCTCTCTGTTACTCCATTCCTTGCCACTGCCTATGCTGCCCACTCACTCTCTCCTACTCTCCCCTCCCCACCACCCTCCATTTCACCTCCCCTATCTCCTCATTCGTTCTCGTCCCACCCTCGCCGTACTTCATCACTCAGCTTCTTCCTGTAACCTCCGTTCTGTCTGTTACCCATACTCCAGTCTAGGGGGTCCATACAGGGGGCTGATTTTAGGCTGGGGGTTGTGGATGGAGCTGTGTGTTCCCTTCTCTGTATTGCTTCGTCCTACCCATCCCCTTCCATGCGCCTCGTTTCCTGTTCCACGTCCCTTATCTGAGCCCCCCCCTCTCTCCATTCCCCTTGCACTTTCATGCGTTCCGCACTTGTTCATTCCTCTCTCCCTCCCCCCCCCCCCCTTCCTCCCCCCCCCCCCCTTCCTCCCCCCTCCCCCCCATCCCCTCTCTCTCGTTTTCTTGCCCTCTTTAACTCCCTCTCTACTTTCCGCCCCTCCCCCTTCCGTGATTTATATTATAGCCCGGTCGATATGGTGGATCCTTGGGGCGTTTCACGCAAGGTGCGGCCATTGCTCTATGCATACATTGGTGACTACCCAGAGACATGCAGGGTATCCTGCACATTGTCCCTAAAGTCATCAAAGCCATGCTCCCTGTGCTATATATCGAGGAAGCGACTACGACAGATCGATACAAGAGGCGTCCATCTTCGGACTGTGGCCGGGCAGTCTAAAATTCTGCGCAGCGAGTATGAAGCACACCAGTACTCAACCATCCCCATTCCGGTGAGCCATGATGATGCGATGGCCTCCATCACAGCGCATGGCTCGGTGGGGCTGTGTCCGGTAAGTAGAAACTATCACGACTATGCCTGCAACAGTTTGCAGCTAATACCCATACACATGAGGCTCCTTTCGGCCTGCAGTGGTACCCACCATCCCACAGTATAGTGAGTTTTTTGCCCTCCCCACTATGCCCCCGCGCCTCCGTGGTCAGATTTTATGGCTTGCACCTTCATTCCACCAATACACTCTTCTTATTCCCACTGCTCCTCCCATATTTTAACAGTCTGCCCTTTGGGACTTCAAGTTTTCAGAGGAGCCGTAGGGCAACACCTATCTCCCTATGATGCCGGACATATTGCATGTGTTCTACATTGGGGTTTGGAAGCATCTGGTGACTGTCTTGATTTCAGACAAGGATATTGCCAAGATTTATGAAGAGTAAGTGCATGGCATTACTGTGTAAGCAAAACCACCTAGCGGGGACATTTTGCTGTGGCCTTGCCAAACCGGGTTCGACACTCACTTGGTTACACATGCGGCTTGCAGGCGGTATCTGAGGATGTATCCTGATGCACGCCTAGCTGGGCTTCCTGCCCCCATTCCTGGAAAATACTTCATATCAGGCGTGAACTACACCGGCGCAGAGCATTCGGGCATGATGTCAGTAAGTACTCTCCCTATTGGTCCCACTTCTACTGTGCTCGCACCATACCTAATATCATCCTTTCCGCCCTCTCTTCTCACAATCAGGTGATCACTTTCATAGTTGAGGGGAAGCTTGCTCCAGCATGCCACAAAGCCCTCAATTATGTCCTTGGGTGGCATCAAACCTACATTCAAGCTAGCAGCCACAGTGAAGCCAGCCTTGCCCAAATGCAAGCAGACTTGCATGAGTAAGTGCCGGCCCATCCTTTATCCTGTGTATCCTCGACACGCTCTGCTCCAGCCCATTCCCCCTGCTGGCCATGTATCAATTTCTGATTGCACAGCGGTGCCATGTCATTTCTGGTGTCGGTGTCAATGCCTGTTGCCCTTGTCAAAAGAGGGCTCATCCCCTGCTGAATAGGCGCTTTCCCAGTTCCTCCTCTCAGCCATCCACATGCCATTCGGCGACTGACACCTTCTACCCCTTTCGGGCCCTGGTTGCTCACCAATGCCTTCAGCCCCAACCCCCGTTTTTCCCCTCTGCTTCTTTACCCATATCATTTAAATCCTCAGATATGCACCTCACCTCAGATTTCGTTAAATCTTAGCGCAAACAATAGCCCATGCCGTAGGAGCTACCTCTGCCTTCTACCCATATGTGCCATGTCCTTGCTTTATTTCTTTTGTCCCACTCCATACCATTGCACAAGCCCACCCCTTTTGTCTATTTCAGCTGTTTTCCTCTTTCCACGCACCAGGTCCACCCCATACCATGGCACAAGCCCACCCCTTTTGTCTATTTCCGCTGTTTTCCTCATTCCACTCACCAGGTCCACCCCATACCATGGCACGAGCCCAGCCCTTGTGTCTATTTCAGCTGCTTTCCTCATTCCACTCACCAGTTCCACCCCATACCATGGCACAAGCCCTCCCCTTCTGTCCATTTCAGCTGTTTTCCTCTTTCCACGCACCAGGTCCACCCCATACCATGGCACAAGCCCACCCCTTCTGTCTATTTCAGCTGCTTTCCTCATTCCACTCACCAGTTCCACCCCATACCATGACACAAGCCCTCCCCTTCTGTCCATTTCACCTGTTTTCCTCATTCCACTCACCAGGTCCACCCCACACCATGGCACAAGCCCTCACCGTCTGTCTATTTCAGCTGTTTTCCTCATTTCACTCACCAGGTCGACCCCACCCCCATTGCACGAGCCCACCCTGTTTGTCCATTTCAGGTGGTTTCCTCATTCCAATCACCAGCCCCGCGGCATACCATGGCACATGCCCAAAACTTTGGTCTATTTCAGCTGCTTTCCTAACGGGCTCACCAGCCCCACTCCATGCCATTGCACGAGCCCACCCCTTTGGTCCATTTCAGCTGCTTGCTTGGGTTCTCTTTTTAATACCCTTCCCTGCCTGAGAACAGGTCTTATGCATTTTACTCCTAGCCATACAATTTCTTATAGTCCGAATCATTAACCCCTTTCAACATCATGGCACCAGCCTATACCTTTGACCCATATCACCTCTTTACATGCATTTTCATTAACCCCTCCTCGTCCTAAATCTTAAATCATATGACTAGCTTCTCATTGTTTCTTGAAAGCCCGATTCTGGCCACCACTCCCGCATCATCATGCACGGTTGCCTCTTTGCATCCATTGATGTCCCTACTTTCGGCCTTCTAATCCTTACTTCCAATCCCAGCCTTTCGCTACCTGTCGTGTTTCTGTTTGATATTCTCACCCCATCCCATTGTGTCCTCGCCAACACTCGCACCACATGTTGATATGACTATCACCGCAAGTTCTCTTCCCTATGCAGCAATCCCCGCTCTATCTTTCATACCCCCATATGGTGTGTGTGGGGTTCCCACTTAGTGTCTCATACCTTCATCTCATGACGTTTGTCTCAATCCTTTGTTTGTATTGCGCAAATGAACACACTTTGGATACACAGGATGGTGCATCTCCTAGAGATGGCGTTCCCACGGTCTGGCCATGGGTGGAACCTCATCAAGGTTCATTTACTCACGCATCTCCCTGATGCTATCCGACGCGGGGGCCTGCCACAAGAGTTCGCTGCTGCTGTTTTTGAAAATGCGCACTCGCGGACTTGCAAGCAGCCATATCGGTCATCAAACCATCGTCAATATGTGGACATCATTCTGAAGCACAATGTGCTTGACGCGGTGCAGCTCTTAACATTGTGCTTCAGAATGATGTCCGCGTCAAGAGCTCGCTTCCTCCGCCGCGCAAATAAAATACTGCAGCTGCACGAGTAAGTTTCCATCCCAAGTTCACGCAACTGTTTTGCCACCCTATCGTTACTCTGCATCAAGACGGACTAGTCATGAGCCATAACGGACAGCTTGTACACCTCCATCGCTACAACTGTCGACTGGTTCTCCGGGGCTGTTATTTCTTTACTGTTTGCAGGAGATGGAGACGGGGATGCCAAAACTCACCGAGGATTCAGACTTAATGACGTATGGTGATGCTAACCCCAGATCTGGAAACGACATCTACACCAGCTATGTCGAAGCCAATGGTGGGGACTTGGGGCCTTACGGTGAGACAATGAGGCGCGCCGGTTACCAGAGCTTCCCGGCTGAGGTATGTATGAGTCCACAAGTCCTAAGTCTCCCAGTCCTGCCCCCCGCACACATCCTCATGATACCTCTGCATCGTCTGCCTTGCCTCATGCACTATTGCGCTTATCGTGCAGGTTCATAGGGCAGTCGCAATTCTGACCTCTGACATCGACGGCCAGCCTGCCTGCTGGTATGCAAGGGAAGCACTCAGGAACCAAAAGGATCCTGCATTTTCATGTATCAGCATTTCTAGTACCAGAGGGCAGCCCCTGTACGGCCAGGTCCTGCTGCTTCTGCGTGCGGAAACGCTGGTAGGGTCTCAGGCAGGCCAGAAACGCGCAGTAGCATACGTGCGGACGTGGACCACTAGTGCTGTGGACGACATCATAGGCTGCAGTATTTTGCATCGACAAGGGGGTGGGAATGGGTACACGGTAGTACCCATTGAACGGCTAACCGGTGTGGTACACATCGTGAAGTCTTTCGAGCGTCAAGGAGTGTGGCTACTCAATCGTTGGGCTCACCTGCGCCGGCCCCTTACAGGTAATGAAACCCTTAATCTGCCATGGTCTTTCACCTCGCATTCCGCATTCCCTGCCTCTCTTTGTGTCCCACGCACCTGCGGTGTAGTTGATGAACGCATTTGCACATGACGAACGTTCATGTGGCAATTCCGTCTTTTAATTCTGCTGCAACCCTCTGTGGTCCAGGTGATATGGTCACTGACCGTGCACCGTAGAGTTGCTTTGAGGGGAGCTACCAATGGTCACTGGAGTGGTTCTGCTCATGACGGCCCTTGCTGGCCCTTCCTAGAGGAGGGAGGGGGGAGGAGAGATGGCCACTATGCAATAGGTGAACACACAACCCACTACATTCTTACGCGCCGCCGTATCCTACCACATCACGATCACAGCCCTTTTATCTCTCTCATGGCCAACTACCGAGTGAGTTTTGCATATGCAGTGGCTCCAAGGTCTGGGTAGGCAGCGGAGTGAGGATGGTTAAGCTTATGTATGGATTTTGGCAGGGAGGAGCGAAGGTCCCGGCATCGTGGGTGAAGGCAGAGAAAGAAGGAAGGGATCATGCGGAGGCTGAAGGTGGGGTGGGGAGGGGGAAGGGGAAACAGGGTAGTCGAGGTTGAAGGGACATTACAATTGATTGAGGAGAGTGGGCTGGAGAGAAAGCAAGTTCCAACCCCCTAACCAAACACATTTTCTTGTTACGACCTTCCCCGATCGTTAAACACCCATCCTGCCTTGGCCGCTTCTACCATGGAGTCCCTTTTTAAAGTGCGAAATCATGTTGCCCCTCTTGAAAACCATCTTCTTCTCGTCTTCCAGCCGTGTCCACTCCATCCATGCATCTTTCTGCATCCACATACCTTCCTCTGCCCTGAATGTGTCTCTAGAGATGTTTCATTCATCACCTTAACACTTTTTGTTTCGCTGCCGTCTTTCTCTTCACCTCCCGTGTCTCTCAACCCCCTCCACTGCTACGTGCCTCACACCATTTGCAGGCCTATTACCACATGACCCCACACCCCCTAACTCATCGACTCCCTTCCAGCAGTACCACCGTTTGTTTCACTGTCGCCCTTTAATTCTCTGACCGTGTTGCCTTCACCCATCCGCCTTCCCTCCCCCTTCTCCCAGCATCCTTCCCTCCTCTTGGTCCAACAAACTTTCATGACTGTAGCCTCTCGGTAGAGATTGCGTGAATCACCCCCCTGCAAGTCACGCCCTTTCTCTCCACCACCTTCTATTGCTGACCCTGCATTCCACTCTCAACCCTGTGTACCCTGCCCTCGGCTCTGCAGCCCCTTCTCATCCTCGGTTGCACTGTCAACTTCTGCACTACCATTTCGCCCCTCCACTCCCCTTTCCCGTTCGCCACCATCCCACCCTCCGCCCCATGCCCTCCCAAATATGATCCACTGCTAAGCGGCCCCTACTAACACACGCACTCAAAGCTCCACACCTACACCATGATGTAAGCGCCTCTCACCAGCACAAGCTCCCCTGCACTTGGTCTTGGATTTGGTACGCACGACTCTCTCCATGATCACCATGCTGAACCGTGGCTGTGACGGGGTCAACATGAATATTTTTTTAGGAATCAAAAAATTAACAGATTGTGATTCGATTTGAAGAGGAGTTTTGCTGTAAAGGAGACAAGCTCCTTCACATTCTCGCAGGTCCGATGGACCTGCCACCTAGTCTCATTCTCATTTCTCTTCTCTGATTGCTCCCAACCCCCTCTCCCACTTTCCTTGTTGGCATCTGCCTTTTTAGCTTCGTCCTTTAGAACATCCATGTACTTCTAACTATGAGTGTGCTGTATCATTGGGATATGAAATGCTATGACGACTGCAGTGCACACTCCTCTGAAAGTCGTGTCACAATCACCTCTTTTTTTTAAGTCTTAGGGCGAATTCCTACAAAGTAAGATCACAATAAGAAACGCGAATTTCATTCTTGATCTACTTTCCTGTCTGTTACGCCAAGATCAGAAACGAGGGCAGCCACCTCAGCGTCGCACGGGGACGTCCGATTGGCTGCTCCTACAAACACATTCGGGACAGGCCCCAACTCGCGCCAAGCAAACGAAAGCGTGCTGACAAGCGACGCGCAGGGAAACGAAAATCTAGAAAAACGAAATTCACATATGGCACGCAGCGGGCACAAGATCGAATATTTTTTGTCCTTCTGCTGGCTTAGAAAATCCCTTGCTCGTGATTGGAGCGCACCTGCTTGTTCGGGGTGGCGAGGATTTTACTATCAAACTGAGAGAAGTCAATGATGACTAGTGGGAGAGTATAGATAGATATACCTAAGTGTTGTACCCTCTAAGAGGTGACCCTATACAGTCTATACAAACATAACAGATACACATGTTTGACACACCCCCTAGACTGCATAGGGGAATGACCTGAACAAGCAGCTCAGGGCGGCACTACTGGTCAAACCTCTGAGACAAGGGTCTAAAAGACCAGTCAGAAGGAGTACAGACAAGGCAAGAACAAGACCAGGGCGGCACTACTAGTCCAGCCACTGGGAGAGGACACAAGTCTAGTCTGAGTATACATATAAAGGACGGTACAAAGTCAAGGCCCTAGTAAGTGAGAGGCTACAGGAACTAGACCAAGCTGTACACAGTGCCGCTGATGATCTTTAAGCGCAAGCGCCTTCGTAAAGATATCAGCTGTGTTGGCACCTGAGGCCAAGTGTACTACGCGAGCCTGGCGTCGCTGCTGTAGCTCGCGCAAGAGGAAGTACCGCAGCTGAATATGCTTCGCTCTGCCCTCGAGTCGAGGCTCCTGACACAGGAGGATCATGGCCCTGTTGTCGGCGAACAGGACCGGGGCAGAGCTAGGTCGCTCACCGAAGTCAGTGAGCAAGAAGGTCAGCCAGCGGAGCTCCTCTGCCGCCATGGCACCAGCGTAGATCTCGGCCTCACAGCTGGACTGGGCAACAGACGAGGAGCGGGTAGCTCTCCACGAGACGGCACCTGAGCCAAGGCTGAAGCAGTAGCCCTGGGTAGACCTGAGTGTCTCGGCGTCGTCTGCCCACAAAGCGTCTGTGTGTCCAGTAAGGACCACTGGCCTGCGTCCTCCTAGCACTAACCCCATGCCCGATGTACTAGCAAGATAACGCAAAACCCTCTTAGCGGCAGACCAGTGCTGCGGTCGGTGTCTGCCTGTGGCCACAAAGCGAGCCAGGATGCTGAGAGGGTATGCGAGATCTGGGGGAGTGCAAGTCATCAGGTACATGAGGCAACCCACCAGCTCTGCGTAGGGGCCGCTAGGCTCTACCGACTCCTCATACACTGGAGCGGAGAGTCTGTGGTCTACAAGCAGAGGGGTGGGCTGTGCAGAGAAGAACTGAAGGCTGAACCTCTGAAGGACCTGGCGCACCAAGTGTGACTGAGTCAGGGTAATGGTGCGCGCTGCTCGGTCCCTGGAGATCTGCAAGCCAAGGTAACGGCGCAGTTCTCCAAGGTCAGTGCAGGTGTGTCTCTTCAGCAGCTCTGCCTTCACGGAGGCCAGTGCATCCCTGTCTGCTGTGGCAAAGACCAGGTCGTCGACGTAAACAAGGATGTAGAACGGAGTCTGGCCAGCACGAACGAAGAGTGAGGGGTCTGCGGAAGACGGAAAGAATTGCAGGTCAGCAAGAGTAGCACGGAGAGTGTCGTGCCACTCACGGGGAGCATGGCGCAGGCCGTAGACGGGGCGCCGCAGGAGCCACTGGGTCCCAGGAGGGAAGGTGCCAGTAAAGCCCTGAGGGCGACGGAAGTAGACCTGCTCGTGTAGGCTGCCCAGAAGGAAGGCAGTGGAGAAGTCGAGGGAGTGAAGCTCGTACTCGCGCTGAGCAGCTAGGTGTAACAGTACCCGAAGAGTAGTCATCTTCGGGGTCGGAGCGAAGGTCTCGAAGAAGTCCACCCCCTCACGCTGACACAAGCCTCTAGCCACGTAGCGTGCCTTGAACACAGGCGGCTCTCCAGGAGGGCGCTTCACCTTGAAGAGCCAGCGGCCATCGACTACGTTCACCCCAGGCGGGGGAACTGCGTCGACAAAGGTGCCGGTGGATCTCCAAGATGCCATCTCCTGCTCCATGGCAACTATCCACTGCGAGGCCCAGGGTCCCGAAGTCGCCTCAGCGTAAGTGCGAGGGGTCGGGATGTCGAAAGCGTCTGGGTCACCCTCAGGGACTAGCAGCATGGAACAGAGATGGGGAGCAGCCTCAGACAGGAAAGCAAGCTCGAACTGGCGGTCCTCCAAGACGTCACTGATGAGGTCAGTAGCACCCCCGACAGACGGAGGACAGGCAGGGTCAGAGACCAGAGCGTTGGCATAGTCAAGGCCGCGGGTAGAGGCGAAGTCAGCGACCGCAGCTACAAGAGCGTCAAGGCACGAGACCGGAACAGACTGGTCAGTGACGAGAGAGGCAAGGACCCGAGGAACAAGAGGACGAGCGGCACGAAGGTAGTCAGACAGCGGGGGGGGTGCAACAACAAGGGAGGACGGAGGAGGCGACGGCAGAAGGGGAGGATGAGACGCGTGGGAACGAATCACCATAGGGTGGGAGCGCAAGACGGGAGGCAGGTCGAGCATGGGAGGGACGGTGAGACCAGACGTGCGACGGAGGAGTCGGGTCAGGAGACAGGTGAGGGGACACAGGAGGGGAACGAGGGGGAAGATGGGCCGGGGACGAGTCCGGCGGAGGGAACACAGGGCCGTAAACTGGAAGAGGAGGAGACGGTCGGAGAGGAACAGCCGCAGGGTCAGGGGACGGAAGGCCGAGCAGGCGAAGGGCGGACACCGGCGGGGACTGCTGTTCCGGCGGCACAACGGCGACACGGGGACTGCAAGCTGCTCCTCGGCTACCACCGACACACTCCACACCAGCACCCCCAGAGGAACAACCCCCAGGGCTACCGGGACTAGCACCCCCAGAGTCAACGAATAGGTGCTGCGACGGCGGCGGCGGCGGCGGCAGAGACAACGACGGCTGCAGCGGCGGCAGAGGCGGTGGAGGAGGGGACTGGGGAGGGGACGCCGGGGGAGGGGCGGCCGGCGAGGACTGCGCAGCAGGGCCACCTGAGTCAGATGACTCCTCAACCGGGTCCACCGACGGAAGGGGGGTGACGTGGGACACACCAGAGGGGGCAGGACGGGGAGGAGGAGGGGGAGGGGCAGGGACTACCAAGGAAGGAGTGACCAGGAACAGGGGGGGGGTAACCGGGGGACCGCGGTGGGGGAAGCGACGGTAGTAAGAGACAGACTCGTCAAAGGTGACGTCGCGAGAGTGAAAGAAGCGGTGAGACGGCGGATGGTAAAAGTGCCAGTCGGACGCGTCAAAGGGAAAACCGAGGAAGACGCAGGGAAGGGTGCGGGCCGTGAGCTTGTCCGTGCCGGAGGCACGGACGTGAGCAAGGCAGCCCCAGACGTGAAACGCAGACACGTCACCAGGAGACCCAGTCCAAAGACGGGTCGGCGAAACCTGCGGTTGCTGAGGGTGCGGCCACAAGTTAAGCTGGTGAGAAGCGTAGCGCACAGCGAACGGCCACAGAAAATGGGGTGCACCGGCATGGATCATGGAGGTGCGAGCCACCTCCATGACCAAACCAATGCGTCGCTCAGCGACCCCATTCTGCTGTGGGGAGTCCGGTAGGGTGAACGTCTGGGTGATGCCCTCTGCACGACAAAAACGACCAATGACACCTGAGGCAAACTCGCCACCACGGTCTGAGTGAAGACACAAGACAGGGAGACCGCGGTGGACACGCGCAGAGACAAGCCAGGGAATGAGGGCGCCAGGCATGTCGGCCTTGTGCTCCAGGGGAAAGACTGTGGTGTAACGTGTAAAGTCGTCGACAAGCACAAGGAAGTAGCGCTCGCGACGCGGCCCAGGGACGGGGGCGGGGCCCCAGACGTCCATGTGCAGGGTCTGCAGCAGCGCGGCTGTAGGGGGAAACGAGGAGGAGTGGGGGGCACGGCGAAGCCGACCCTCGTTACAAGGCATGCAAGGTGGGGCTGGGGAGGAGGGAAACGCGGGGAGAGAACCTGGGAGACCAAGGACAAGACCGTGCTGGGACATGTGAGCGCAGGGTGACCTAGGCGGTGGTGCCAAAGGAGAGTCGGGTGAGTGAGAGACCGACAGGAGCAGGCAGCAGCAACCTGGGTAGACGCAGCCACCTGAGGGAGCGCTCCAGCCGGGGGGGTCACGATGTCCAGAGTGAACAGGCCAGACACCGGGTCTCGGGGGAACGTGGAAAGGGGGGCACCAGTGGCGGCCTCGGTACAGACAGCATACCGCTCGTGACCAGGGAACGTAGTGGTGAGGCCAAGGTCCTGGAGGCAGCCGACACCAACTAGGTTCCTAGAGAACGAGGGGATATGCAGACCTGTGAGAGTGCCCGAAGGAACCGCTGGACAGGGAAGGGTGGTGGAACTGCGGGCGACTACAGGACCGCCGGAGGGGTCAGCAAGAGAAACGGCAGAAGGAACAAGAAGTGGCGTCAGGGTTGTGGAGTCGCGGAAGAAACACGGGGAAGCGCCAGAGTCCAAGGTGAAGGAAAGCGAAGCAGAGGCGTCTGGCGACGGAACGACGGGGGAAGCACCAAGACTACACAAA